CTGAGATGAGGGGTCTTACTATGTTGCCCAGGCTGGGTGCAAGCCATTTTCCCATCTCAATTTCCCAAGAACTGGGACTACAGGCCTTTGGTACTGTACAAGGCTTGGTGTCTCTTTCATGTGAAGGATGCCATCTCCATTTGACTATGTCATCAGGGTTCTTTGCCTTCCTGTTGGAGACTCATGAAAACAAGGTTGTAGTAAAGAGCATTTGATTAAAAGATGAACTCTGAAAAGAGACAGACCCTTATTTAAAGCCTCTTCTTAGCTGTGTGACTTGACCTTTCTGAACCTCAGTTTATTCATGCATAAAATGAAGATAATATTGTTTACTTTATAGAGTTATATGATAAGATGATGTAGAAAAAGCCCAGCATGGTATTTGGCATGTATTAAGTGCTCAATAAACATAAGTAAAATAAACTGAAGTGCTTAATGCAGTTTTATTGAACTAAAAGTGTAAAATACTCAGTAACATTTTTCAGGGATTTTGTCATATAGCTCAAAGCTATCAGTGTGCAGTGTAGTGTCTCCCCTCATCGCCAGAGAATATGAGATTGGTTCATCATTTGTCTTCTTATTCCATAGGCAGGCCCAATGCCCAAACACATTGCATTCATAATGGATGGGAACCGTCGCTATGCGAAGAAGTGCCAGGTGGAACGGCAGGAGGGCCACTCACAGGGCTTCAACAAGCTAGCTGAGGTGGGTGTAGATGACAGAACTCAAGGTGGAAATCTGTGGAGGGTTGGATTATTGCTAGAAAAATGTGACCCTGAGATTGAACCCAGGCGTGCTTATCCACTGAGCTACATCCTCAGACTTTTTTTKGGGGGGTACCAAGGATTGTACTCAGGAGCACTTGACCACTGAGCCACATCCCCAACCCTATTTTATATTTTTATTTAGAGACAGGTCTCACTGAGTTGCTTAGCACCTCACTTTTGCTAAGACCTACTTTGAACTTGAAGTCCTTCTGCCTGAGCCTCCCGAGCCACTGGGATTATAAGAATGTGCTGCCTCACCTGGCCCCACCCCTTTTTAGCTTAGAGCCTTGCTATGTTTCTAATACTTCCCTCAAACTTGTGATCCTCCTGCCTTATCTTCCTGAGTAACTGGGATTATAGGTGTGTGCTACCATGTGTGGCCAAGAGTGTTTTTGTTTGTTTGTTTGTTTGTTTTAAAGCCAGCCTCAGCAAAAGTGAGGCRCTAAGCAACTCAGTGAGACCCTGTCTCTAAACAAAATAGGTCTGGGGATGTAGCTCAATGGTCGAGTGTCCCTGAGTTCAATCCTCAGTACCGCCCCCCCCCAAAAAAAAATATGGAATATTATAATCTTTKTGAAATTTTTTCTTGATGCTGGGGTTGAATCTAGGGCCTCACACTTTCTAAATACATCTACCTCTGAGCTACACCCTCACATTTTGTAACTAACTTGTAAGAAGAATAGAAATATGGTTTATAGTCCCCAGGTTCCAGTGTCCTGGCATGAGAGCAAGCCCTGATGTTAGGGCATTAATAATTTTTGCCTCAAAAAAAATGGGGTATTGGGGTTTCTCCAGCACTCTTATAGAAGTCTGTAGATTTACTAACCCCTGCTTCTCTTTTGCAACTAAGTAAGGCAGTTTTGCCTAGTGCTTAGAAGCTTGAGCTCTGGAGTACTTAGAACTCACTGATATAGGCAAATTTCTTAACCTTGTAAAGACAAAGAACTAATTGGCACCCTTGCACTCCACTTACTGGCTTTGTGACTTGCAGTAAGTTATGCAGCTTCCTCTTGCCTCAGTAAAACAGGGTGTACAATAATCTCCATTTTAAGAGATGGATGTGAAGATTCAGCAAGATGGCATACAGCATAGGGCCTAACCTAGGGAAGAGCTGAAAAAAATTGAAACTGTTGTAGGGGTGGGTTCCAGCCTAGGTGTGCCATCCAAGATGGCTGCCTTGCAAGGTCTTCAGAGCCTGAGTCTAGTCAAATATCAGGTTATTAATGGTATTTTCCCCAAGGTGTTAGTGGATTTGTCTGTGTACCTGTAAAGGATCAGAGAGTTAGTTCTACAACTTTGTTTCTTCTTTTTTTTTTCTTTGTACGGGGAATTGAACCCAGGGGCACTTAACCACTGAGCCACATCCCCAGCCCTTTTTTTTTGCGGGGGGTGGGGGGAGGTGCTGGGGATTGAACTCAGGGGCACTCGCCCACTGAACCCTATTTTTTGTATTTTATTTAGAGACAGGGTCTCACTGAGTTGCCTAGTGCCTCCCTTTTGCTGAGGCTAGCTTTGAACTCATGATCCTCCTGCTCACCCTCCTGAGCTGCTGGGATTACAGGCATGCGTTACCACACTTGGCTTCCCCAACCCTTTTTATTTATTTTGAGATGGGGTCTTGCTAAGTTGCATAGTGCCTCCCTTGCCAAGTTGCTGAGTGACTCTGGCCTGGAACTTGCAGTCCTCCTGTCTCAACCTCCCAAGCCACTGGGATTACAAGCAGGAGCCACTGTTCTTCAGTTGTGTTTGAATGTCTTTTATCCTCATCTTTAACCTCCAGCTCCCCATCTCATTGTTTTTCTTGACTCAGGGTTGTTCTCCATCTTTAGTGATCTGGGTTAGAGCAACCCCAGAGGACTGAGTAAGTTATGTGGTTTTTTTCTTACTTGCTTTTTTTCCCCTCCTGAGGCTGGGGGATAGAACCCAAGGCCTCATGCATACTAGGCAAGTGCTCTACTATTGAGCTACATCCCCAACCCAAGTTTTCCTTCTTTTTAAATTGAAATATGATTTCATACAGTGCAATACACACACTTCAGTTTTTAATAATTGCATTAATCTAACCCTGACAAGATATAGAACCATCTCTGCAGAAAGTTTCCTATGTCCCTTCCCAGTCTARACCTGTTCTCCCTTCTCCTTTCTGTAACTATAGACTGATTTTTCCTGTTCTAAAATTTCATATAATAAAATCATACAGTGGAGAATTTTGACATGATTTTYCAGCTTTATGAGTCTGTTTTACCAGGTATAAATTAGGCATGAAGACAGTTATGCCACTTTTAAGTGATTGTTTGAAAAATCAGATGA